TTAGCTAGGCCTCTTCTTGTCCTGTGATTGCCAAATAGCAATGTGCCAAGCCCAGCTGACTACATAAAATTTACCTCTTCGAGCATGCTTCAATAACTTCTATTCCTTGATTTTTCACCCCTTGGAAATGTCTTTTTAGTTAAGTCAGGCATACAGCCTCCCCACCACCCCTCTGCAATCTTACAGTCAGGTAATTGGGGTGCTGGGTGGTACAGTCTCATGGCCAAGATCACAGTACTAACCACTGACAATTTTCATTCTTAAGGCCAAGGGCTCTGGCTTTCTCTCTTTCTTTATTTTTCCCCTGCTTTACTGAGGTATAACTGGACAACATACATTGAAATATATTTAAAGTGTACAATGTAATGATTTTATATATGTATATATGTAATAATGTTTTATATGTATTTACACACACACACACACACACACACACACACAATGAAGTGATTACCACAATCAAGTTAATGAACACATCCACTTTAATTTTATTTAAGTCATAGACAAAATAATTAAACTTCTTCAATGTTGAAGTAAGTGGTTTCTTTAAAAAACAACAAAACCGAAACATCCTGAAGTGAAATGAAACTTGGGAGGATCTAAATGGAAAAGTTGAGATGGCCCCGCTATAGGGAGGAGGGACTGACTACATGGCCGAGGATTCTGGGAATGGCTAACACAAAAACTACTCTTTGAGTGCTGGTTAATGAAAAATAATAATACATGCAAAACAACAGGACACAGCTAAAGATACATAAGGTTATTTCTACATATGAATCCCATCTTAATGGTGAAAAAAAGCCTATGATCAGACATAAGATAATTTTGTCCAGGTCTTTGTCCCAGGCTACATAGGAATTAAATGTCTGATCCACATGTCACAGTGCTACTTGTTATAACTGTTACTTGTCCTATACCTGCAGATAAATAAGTATCTGTCAGGAGGAAGGTTTAAAATTTCATTACCATTTTAATTATACTTTATTTTCAAAATAGACCTTTTTCACTGCTCTGAATTTCACAGCAGCTTTCTTCTTCTGAAAACATTACCATCACAGCACTCTGTCCACATTAGCCTTATTCTCTATTATTAACCAGGGGCAAATATCATCTTCATCCCATAAATGAAGAATGTGAGGTACCTATAGTTCATATTAGATACAACTATATCTGTAATACAAATGAGCAAAAGATATAAATACAAAACACATTTTTATTTTCTCCACTTCAGCTTCCCTGGGAGTCTGTCCTGGGCATGGATTAACACAGGCAGACCAACAGCTGATCATTACGAGTCAGAGCAGTCCTTTTACTGGCTTCCCATCCTCTCCGATCTGGGCTGCTACATGTGGAGACTAAGTTTCGGTAAACTCAATGAGTCAGTAAGACTCCTCAGGAGGTTGCAATAGGCTGCAGTTTATATGATTTCCATGCTGGTTCTTAGCCTCTTTCTGTCCCTAAACATCTGAGGTTACAGAGCAATCGGTGGCTTACTGCAACAATGGCTCCATGCTCAGCTCGGGTAGAGGTGACTATAATTGTGAATTTAGGATCATTCTAAGGCATGCAAAGGAGAAGAATGGAATATATTTTAAATTACACACAGTCAGAGCTGTATAAGCTTTTCTGAACAGAAATTAAGAATTATGGTAGATTTCACATTGCTACAGATCTTAGAGATCTTTACATTTTTGGATATATGTACAGATGCCAGTTAACAATTGGCTCTGAATGGACTGTGGGCACTTGGGAGTAAAAACAACTATAATTCCTTATTTAGCTTTGCCTAGTGGTTTTTAAGTACTTAAATGATATTCACTGAGTAATGAAATAATACTAAAAAAATGGCAAAACAATAAAGTTTATCTCGAAAGACAACCTCGCTCCTAGCCTCAGATCACTATGATCTTGTCTGTTATACGTAGCTAATTTTACTGAATTTCTTGGGTAGGGTGGTAGGCCCACTGAAGACCCCAAGACTGAAAAAATACAGAAGTCAGTAGGGCAGCTGGAGGGTGGAGGGGATTAGTAGGCAGTATGCTCTATGGAACTGCTTCTCAGTGTCCGGACAGCTGAGGAGGCCCTGATGGGGGGAGGGGGACATTAAACCGAGCTGACTTTACTGGACAACTGTATTGTCTCACGTCTCCCCCACCCCCCACTTAGGATCAGCTGTAACATAAACAATATACTCACCTTCGATTTCAGTCCAATTGACAGCAATTTCTGCTATTGGAATTTTAAAGAACTGTGCTATGTAAAGAAGTTCTACATCAAATGCCCTGAAATAGAAAATAGATTTGTATTTATTTTTAAAAAGATAGTATAATTAAATCTCTACCTTGGCATGTTTTAAAGAAACTTACATGGCAGATATAAAGCCTACATTATAAAACTGAAGGTCAGATTCACATAAGGTCAAATAAAAGCTAAGCAGTTCAGGAGCTTCAAGGCAAATAAAATAATGTGGTGTGTCACTGCATAACATTTAAATGAGAAATACAGTGTCTCTATCACAACTCAGAAACTCCCAGTTAAAAACAGCCTCTTGGGCCCCAAGAGAAAATTTAATTTTGGAAATTTTCAAGACTGATGGTTTTGAATCCCAGCTTTAACTAGCTCAAGATATAGAACTGACAGCATTTTCAACTGATTGAGAGAGCTAATTAAGCAGAACTCTGAGAAGCTTGTGGACCGAATGTTCTCAATCACTTTAGAGTTGCTTCATTCCATTCTTCTACCTCCAGAGGATCGAGGTTTCTCTTCTAAATACAGGGCACCCAGGACCTGCCTATCCTTTTCCCTTCTCCATGCCATCCTGGATGATACAGTGTTGGTACCTACTGAAAGTGAAAAGCCAGTTTAGACTAGTCTAAAATGCCCTCTGAATTTAATTAAACACACACATAGGAATTAGATATATTGTCTCATTTTTACATACACTGATAAAATCATCTCTAGTATAAATTTTCAGTTCATCCTTCCTTCTACCCATAAGATAGGCTCTTTCTTAAAGCTCCTATTCAGTCAGCCTCTTGGTTTAGGTTAAATCTAAAGGTTTCTGAATCCTGACTCCGAAGTTTTACTATTTACAAAATTCTCTCATCCAGTCGTTTCCTTTCACTCGCACTAAGCTCAAAAAAAGAAGCACCCCTTCCTAAGCTCTACTTCTATGTGCTCTTTTAACTGTCCCCAAAGTGCTAAAGTCCTTCACCATTTTGCTTTCATCCTTGAGTCATTAAGAACCCGCTTTCTAGACTACATGGAACACACTTCAAACTTCAAGCGCTTGGTTTTAAAATATTAGCACAGACAAGAAAATGTCTAAAGTCCACTTCTATTTGATTTCCTGATCCCAGACAATTTGAATTTGAGAGTTTTGTATTCTTGGCGATGCTACCACCACCATCCATTATGCAACTAGTTTAAATCCCAAGTCTTTGGATAATTCAATATGACAACAATTTTTTAAAACATTTAATGCTTTTTCTTATCCTACTAAAATATTTACTTAAGAGGATAAAAGCATCTACAAAAGTGTTCTTTGTGTTTTTAAAAGGACTATGTGAAACTTCTGTTACCTAAAATTGTGACACTCATGAAAGAAGGAAATAATTTGAATATTAAGCCAGGAGCTCAACCCTTAACTCTTTCCTTTAACACAGAAACAAAAAATGACCGAGTGGGCTGAGTTAGTTCTAATGATATTCAATAATCTAAACAAGATTATCAATACTTTTCTAAGGGTATCAGTAATAGTGACTTTGATCAAAGACACAAAACAACATAAGAATAATGAATGAAGGGGGGAAGCACTGATTCAATGAAATTACTTTATATTAAAAAAACAAAGGACGGTTCACCTTCTAAACTATCATTTTTATTATATCCATATCCCCTTAAACATTTTAAAAGACATGATGTTTATTTTTTTTTAAATTGCAGTTCATAGACCGTATTATAAGTAACAGACCAATTTGTTACCAAAGCAAACATTATAATTAAAATACCAAGTACTTCTGGATAGAACCTTATGATATTACAGAGAAGCAGTACAAGCCGTATATATATGTTCTCCAACTAAGATGCCTTCATGTGTTTTCACAAATGCGGGAGGGCTGAGCACCATGTTTTCTTTTGCTACTCAGTTCCTGCTTGTAGCTGTTATCTCATGAAGAGATATATTCCTGGAGAACAGGGTATGTTGAGACTCAACCACAGCAGACACACACGTACTCTACTGCTCCCTCCTGAAATCCCACTAAAATTAAAACAACAATGATGGAATAAAAACACAAGAAGAGAAGGAGACAATAATAATGTACTTTTTTGAAAGTTGGAAAGCAGCTGGACTAGCTGTAACTAGGGAAAATAGACAATGGCAGTGGAGAGGCCTACATGCAGGGCCCCCAAAGGCTCAGGCATCAGAGGTATCAAATGACTCTGGCAAGTGAGGGTGCAGGAGGGGCTGCAAATGGGACGACTCACTAAAAATCCCTACGAGCTTTTCCTTTCCTCCAATTCGTTCATATCTCCTAAGCAGGAGATTAAAGGATCCCACTTTAGTGAAAATGACCAGCCCAAAAGAGAATGACAGGTGGGAATTTCCCATAAAAAGTGGCCCCACTATTTAATCTGTGGTGAAATCTGTTAGTCAATCAGAGACTTTGACCATGAACATACCTTCTGATGAGCTTTTTTAGTACCACAGTAAAGATATCTGAAGACAGACTTTAATGATAAAAACAAATATAAAGAAAAAAGCTGGAGCAACAAATACAGGGAAAGTAGAAAATGTCACAAAGTTTTAAATAAGACATTAAGTAGTGAAAATACTGTAGTCATGAAACAAGAATAGATTTTTTAAAAATGAATACTGGAAGACAAAAAGTAGGAAATTAAAATTTTGAGAGCAGAAATAAAAATTCAAAAGGACAGTAAAATGGTAAAATCGAGAAAAATCTCTGTAAAAGGAGAAAAATAGAAAAAAGGAGAGAACATCAAATGATAGGATCAGTAAGGAGGTCCACATCTGTTTTATAAGAGGACAGAGAAAAGAGTAAGAGGGGGTTGTTAAAGAAATGATTAAAGGACATTTCTCAGAACTAACGGACATGGAATTTCCAGGTGTAGATGGCCCACTGAGTACTCAACAAAATAAATGAAAAGGAGCCACATGAAGTCCCAGAATCATTTCAAAACACTATGAAAAAGAAGCTTCCAAACGTGTGGGTGGAAACATACCATAAACAAAGAATTAAGATTCAGATTATCTATAGAATTGAACTTCTCCACAGAAACAGAGTGCCAAAAACAACAGAGCAATGCTTTCAAAATCCTGAGGAAAAATGATTTCCAATCTGTAATTTTTTTGTCCAGCTAACGGTTAAACAAGTGTGAGAGTAGAATAAAGATAGTTTTTCCCATACAATGTCTCAAATTCCCTTCTCATATTTTTAGTAAGTTTAACAGAGAAGATACTCTACTACAATAGGGCTGTGAACCAAGGAAAAGGAGGTGGACAATGGCAGCTGTGCAGGAGGCCAGGGAACGAGAAAGGTACAACCGACGAGATGCCTCTAAGAAAAAGATGAAACTGATGCATAACCTGATATGTTGGGACATTGAGGGAGAATTTATGAGTGTGAGCATAAATATGTGACAGATCCATAGTAAAATAATGCAAACAAAAAACTGCAGATAGTTATGTTCAAGAAAACAAACAGTACTACAAGAAAGGTAATATTCACATTGCACCCTGTGGTTCAAATGTGAATTATCTTTACACAGCTATAACAATCAATACTGCTCTAACCAAAAATGATTATAAAACTGTATTAGGAGAATAAGTGTGGGGGGTATAGAGAAGTGTAAGAGAATTACATACGTATGTACTGATTTCCTATTTTGGAAAGTAGTATCTAAAACTGAAACAATGGAGATATAGCTGTGCAGACCCATTATTTTGAGTATGAAAGCAAATACCACAAAGAAACAGTAAAGAATTGAAAGTGCCTATAGTTGGGGAGTAGGATTGAGGATGGAGGGACATGGGTAAAGGAAAACTTTTTTGTTATAAGCCATGTGGAACTGACTTTAAATTATAAACATATATAACATTGATTAAAAAAGTATTCATCAGTAGAAAGTACATTTTGAAGAATTCATTTTCAAAATTACTCATAAATTGAGTCAAATTATAATTTAACATTACATGGAAAGATTTTAGGTGAAGTACAGTTGTGAGGATGGAAGTTATATATATTATTTATATTTAACATTACATATATATATTTTTAACATTACCCATACTCAATTATGAAAAAAGATGCCTACAGTCTTTTAACTTTAGCTATAATCTTTGATGTTTCCTAATACCTAGAAACTCTACTTGACTTGGATATTCTGAAAGTTATAAGAAAAACTTTAATAAATCTTTAGAATAAATCCTTTAAGAAACTCTAAGGTGACACTTATATAGAAATAAGTGGAGGCACAACTTGGTTTCTACAACTTACGCCGCATAAGAAAAAATATATCTTTCTTTAGTCTTTCTTGATTTAAAGTACAAGAACAGAGATGTTTAAATGAAAACCACTGATGAAACATTACTGTAGTGAATGGTACACTGATAATCAAGTTGATAAATACGTATTTGGTGGTTGTCCTTTACAAGTATAAAAATAAACATAACCGGACCTTAAAGAGTGATATGAGAGGCTAAAATTTTAAGTCAGGTCAAATACTATGTCAACCAAGTCCAAAGTAAACAATATAAAAGACATGCACAGCTTCTGGTCAAGATAGCAGAGTAGGTTAACACTGTTTTTAACATGACCATATAAATATTACAACTCAAGCATAGAACTATTATTGAGAATTGCCTAAGTCTTGCTGAACCGAAGCCCTACAACTACAGAAGAAACCACTTTGAGACTGGTAGGAGGGGCAGAGACACAGAACAGGCTGGTCCCACACCCATGTGTGGCAATTAAAAATCAGGAGGGATATCACAGCTGCAGAGGTCCTCCCTGAGGAGCGAAGGGTCCCAGCCCCACACCATGCTCTTAACCCAGGATTCCAGTGTCAGAGAGAAATGTCCTTATAACTCCTGGCTGTGAAAACCAGCAAAGATTGTGGCTGAGATGAGAGTGGCTGGAGTCCTAGGCGTTCCTCTGAAAAGGCTCAATGCAGACTTATTCATTGATGGACTCACTTGCTCTGAGCTCCAGCGCGGGGGCAACAGGTCGAAAGGCACCAGGAACATAGGGTGAAGAAATGA